TCACCAAAGTCAGTAGGGTTCATCCTCTGGTGACCATGAAGGTTTGCACAAAATTTAATTTATCAAACCATTAAAAGGATGACAAACACGGTACAAAAGGTGAGGAAAAATATCTGACGGTGAACAAATTTGTATCGTCTCATGAAATATATCAACTTATCGCCCATCCATTGGGATCTGTGCTGCTGAAGACCCTGTCAAAAGCCATCAGTATATAACCACTATTATGCCACACTAAATAATGGATTTTAATATGCGTTTTCTCCGTGCTCTGCCTGACAGTGCCTGAAGAATGTGTTTTTTTTTTCTATCAGTTGTTTTTAGAAAAAACACCATTATGTTCCCTCGACTGGATGTGAATCATACTGAGCACTTGGCCCTGGCATTCTTTTACATTGTTTCCTATTATCCTGTTTGGCAGACACAAGTGTGTGTGTGTGTGTTTTGTAGAAGAGAAGAGAGAGTACACAGTTTTGATTGCAAAAAAGTGCTGAAATGTGGATTGGGTTTAATAGCAGAGCGGTGTGTCAATAGCAGCCAGCTGCTGCCAGCAATGCCTGTGCCTCTCTTCTCCTCTCTCCTCGTCTCTCTCTCTCTCATTCTCTCTATCTCTGCCTTTCTCGTGAATTACTGCAGAATAAACCTCGGAGGTCGCACCTCCTCTCCCCTCGTCTCTCTCTCTCTGCCTTTCTCTGGTTGAATTACTGCCAGAATAAATGCTCTCTGGAGGTCCGCACTCTCTCTGCTCCCTCTGTCACTGGAGCTAACTGAGGAATAACTCATCCCTACCAGCAGGACAGTAAATCAGCCACCATGTCCCAGCATGCATAGGAGCTGGTTTCTCCAGATATGATGGCAGAGTGCGCGAGGAGGACAGCATCAAAATAAATCATTTATGTGATCGGATTCACTGTCAGGGTGTCTGCATTATTAAATACACTTACAAACCTCCATCTTAACAAGTCAGTTTGTGTACCTTTTTTGTATATTCTTGGTCTGGACTGTTTTTCATGGTTTCGGTTAGTCCCTTAAGTTCCAGTTAAGTTGAACCTTAATGCTACAGCATACAATGATATTCTATATAATTTATACTTTGTGGTAACAGATTCTGTTTGTCCACTTCCTGTTTCAACATGACAATACCCCCTGTGCTAAAATCCAGCTCCACAAAAAAATGGGTTCCCCAGTCTGGTGTGGAAGAACTTGACTGGTCTGCACAGAACTGACCTCAACCCCATCCAGCACCTTTGGGATGCACTGGAACACCAACTGTGAGCCAGATTTTCCCACTCAACATTAGCGTTGGACCCCACTAATGTTCTTGAGGCTAAATGTGAGCAAATCCCTGCAGCCAGGTTCAACATCTGGTGGAAAGCCTGAAACCAGAAGAGCGGAGGCTGCTATGGCAGCAGATGTTCATGGTTTATGTGTGTGTATGTGTGTCCACATACTTTTGGCTATGTATGAAATTATCACACGTCCTCATTGTACAAATCAATGTAAAGATATTTTTGGAATCAAGTGTTTCGATATAATGAGGCTCTTTCTTTTTTCTTTTTTTCTTAAACGACCTGAACTTGGAACAACTGCAAATCTGTCAGAATAAAATATGTTTTGAATGCTGAATATAAGATTATGATACATCATTTTCTTACTACATCGGATCTTTTATTGCAAATCAAAAAATAAATAAAAATGTTGAAACGCACAGGATTGGCTGTTTTCCAGAGAAGCTTCACCAGATTAAAACCATTAAAGCATCTCATTATGACAAGAAAGAAATGTTTCTAGTTCTATAGATAGTTGCAGATCATCGTGCCTAAAGGCTCTACAGTTACTGTATAATTCTGTCTATGTGTACATCATCACTGTGTTATGTGTGAGTCAGAGTCTGTTTTGCTATCGGCACATCTCCCCTCCTCTGCCTGGGCAGAGGTTACCCAACAGCGAGCATCATGTTGCAGAGATCAGGTTTGGAAACAAATCCTCCTGTTGCAGCCAGCAGTTCCTGCAGCTGCTGGCAGCACACTGTCTGATCTTCTAAACTTACCCCATTTTAATCAAGCTTCTGCGCTCCCTCTCTCCTCCTACAGGTCATTGGCTCAGATCCCAAAGTGCCAGGCTTCCTCTTCACAGTCTCCTCTCAGTATAGCAATCTGTCTGGAGTTTCCACAGAGCCAGACAGATGTGGCCTTGAGCTATAAGTAAAGAGAGAGAAAGAGGAAAAAAAAGCATATCAATCAATGAGCTGCTTTTTCTGAACATAACAACAGACTACCACGGTGGAGATGCTCGCTCTGTCAGACGAGACACACACAGAGCAACAGAGACTTGAGGCTTGAATAGCAGATGTATCCTGATACTGTAAAACAAACCGTGTCCTCCTTTCGCAGATTGAATTAGATGTTGAGTCAATTACATAATTAGTGTTTCTCTGTCAGGAGAGAGTCGCAGATTACACGCATCACGCCAAGAGCTTGTATACAGTGTGTGTGTGTGTGTGTGTGTGTGTGTGTGTTGAACAGCCTGCGGATAATTATTCAATGTCATATTTTCAAGCAATAACGCACATTTCCTCTATATTAAATATAATTGTTGTTTCTCATCAACAGTTACAGATAAGAAAGGAAACAAATACTGGTGGTGCCCGCCTGGGGACCACAGACGTAAGTTAGTTTTAAGATATATCTACTGCAATAGCACCTTTTGAATAAACAATAAAGAAAGCTGAAAATAAATTACACTAGACATACATCCTTGTCATATAAATAATACGATAACATAAATTAAAATAAATCTGATGCAATATGTGTATCATGCTTTGTCCCTGCAAAATAAATAAATGAAAAATAATAAATGTCATTAACGTTAAATAATAATATTGCTTTCTCTGCCAGAACATTATTAAATGATAAACATAAATAAATATAGTGCAAATATGAGTTAATGTGTTATCGAATTCTCCTTTTAAAATAAGGAATAAATGAAATAAAAACACCATAAATGTACCGGTAAAGAAATAAATAGCGGTTTCCATAAAGAACTGTAAATAAGAAAAATACTATGGATGCATTGACATCAACACATTAAAGCTCAAACTCAAGTTGCAGTTCAAAATCTAGACATAAAAAATGTCATTTTACACAACAACGAAAAGAATAAAAGCAGTGAGATAAACGACACAAATTCCAAACATAACTGCACAGCAGGCATGAATGCAATGTAGGCCAGCAGCCCTAAAATAAAACAAAAGAGACTGAACTGTGCATTACAGAAACAGCTCTATCCAAGACACAACTCAGACCGGGAAACACTCTGCAGGAACCATGAATACTCAGTTCATGAAAAAAACAAAAAACAAAAAACAAAAGAGAGATCCCCACCTCGTCTTTGGGTGCTCCACTAAACTCTGCATCCACCACTTCAACATCTACATCCACGCGATGGCCCACCCACCCCCTGCCGCGGGATGCTGGACGACAGTGCTGTGCTGCATATCGCACTTTGAAAGTGATGTCATAGAAATGCCCCCCCCCCCCGCACCATCCCAGGGAAGTGCCTGCATGATTGTGCAGGGCTTCACACTTGATCCTCCCTTTTTTTCCCATGCAGCCTCTTCTCTTTCCTTGCAAAATGATGCAGCTCACTTCATTCAACATTTTGTTTGCACCAGAGCTGTTAGTTAAAAAAGTAAAGTACTCTGAATTCACTCGTTTCTCCAGCTCCACTTTGCACACTGGGAGACCTCTCCTCTCTCATGCTCACAGAATAACCTCGCTCTGACATCCCACTGAAACTGATAGGCTTTTTCTAAGAGGAATGAGAAACTGGTTATCGGCACTGACTGAATGACCCATTATTTATTTTAATTTTCTCCTCTTTTATATCCGGAAAGCGTTAAATCACTGAGCCAATTCCCCGCTGTTCCGCCTGTTTCATTCATCCTTTCCTGATGGGAGCTTCAGAAGCCCTAAACTATTGCAGAAGTGTTTCTTACAGACGTGTGGGTTGTGTGTGTGTGTGTGGTGTTCTCCAGACTGAAGTCTTTCAGATCCTATGTAGTGATAGAAGAGGATAATAATGGCCCATGGTTTTTTGACACCTTCATTCTTCCCTACAGACATGCAGACTCACACCTCCAAATAGTTTCGGGCAGGTGTGTGTGTTGGGTGTGTGTTGTTGTGTGTGTGTGTGTGAGGTGAGCGAGATACAGAGAGACGGAGACAGAGACAGGGAGATAAAGACCGTTTAATGGCAATCTCAGCCACACACACCTCATATACTCGACCACTATATTCATATACCTCTTGAAAATGTCATCACTTCATCTTCATAAATGTATTATTCTATATTGTGATTCCAAAAAATTATATAGCAAAGAAGAAACATATCTGTGACGAGAATTCATTCTGCATCTACAAACATCCTGATCCACAAGAATAAAAACAAAGAATCCAGCTGTGAAAAACAGTGAGCACAGTGAGGAGAATAAAGGTGATACATTAACAGTGTTCCCATCGAATATATGGTGCAAATATACAACTTGCTTCTACCCCCCCTAAAAAAGTGAAAAAATGTCTTCACTTTCAAGAGCATGGACTTAAAGTTGATGTATTTAAATTCATTTGGAATGGTGCATTCATGTGCAGTCATAAAAATTGTAAAAAGGACTTCCCTGATCCTTCGCTTGTGATGCCACATGTACCAGAACTTATGAATGAATAACATAAAAAAAGTTCTACTGAGCCACTGAAGTAATCAACGCAGAACATTCATAAAAATATGCCAAAAATGACTTTAAACTACACTATTACCAGTTTAGTAGGTGCACGTGCAATAAAATACAACAGCATAGCAATGAATCCGACCTTTATGAAGCAGCTTGTTTACTCTGTCAGAGAGGTTCTGACTCAACTCTTTGTATAGTTTATATATAATAGTTTAAGTGGCAGGTCAACAACGCATTATAAACACTGGACAATATATTGTCCAACATAACATTTTAAGTGATTTCAAGGCTGTTGTAGTGGACTGCGTTACTTAACCTTGTAACTCAGGGTAGGTATATGTGACCACCAACATTTTTAATTCAGAAAATAAATATTTGAATTTACAACAACAACTCAGTGTCTACAGTCTGTAAAAGGACTCAACGTCAGAACTGTCAGGTAGCACGGTGGGTTAACAATATTCAAACGCCCTTAAACCCGACATGGCATGAAGTTCACCTCCCACCGATGTGTGCTTTGGCTCAGCAGGTGTCTGGATGTGAAGTGCTCTGCTGTGTGTGAGCGAAAGGCAGGCTATCGTTGGCACAGCTGGAAGGCACAGCAGGAGTGTGACAGAAAGCTCACTGTGAGGCCAAGACTGGAGAGGACACACACTAAAGCCAAATACATTTAAATATGCCTTTTTCCCTCCACAATGGCCAGTGGTTTTCAAGTGCAAAAATTTAGCCTTTTTCAAAACGCTCTCCTTAGTGGCTAAATTGAAAAATGGCAGCCCAGGCAGCTGTAGGAATGCCATGTGCCTGCTCAGTCATGGCTGGGCGAATTTAAAAGGACAACTTTTGAAGGCAATTTGAGCATTTCTTGTGCTGTGTTCTACACATTTTACATCAGGTGTACCACTGAGTAAGACAGTCAGATATATGGAGATGAGAAAGTACTAAGAAAAACGTTTGGCCAAAAAGCAATATTAACATTGATTACTGTAGCTTCAAGTTTCTTTAAATGGACTGTAAGTAAATTCAAAAGAAAGCCTCCTGGTAGCACTGCAAATGTGTGGGTGTGCACGTGCTTGAGTGCACAGACACACTGCGCTTGCCGCTCAGCATGTGGCATAAAATGGCAGACTGCTGTCCACACACTGCGCGCTGGCAGGATGTCTGGACTCATACGTGGCCCTAACACCGCCAGCTGCTGTGATATTTCACTCTGCACAACAGTGAGCCTGAAGACGGCGGCCGCCAGCCGACTGCTTTCTCTTCCCTGAGCCCCTGAAGCCACAATAACAGCAGTGACTTACAGTGTGACACAGGGAGCAGAGAGTGTAAATGTAAAGCAGTCAGGTGAGGTGAGGAGGCTCGGCAGGTGAAGAAGCGGCTCAGAAGACATGACGTCATAATCAACATCAAATGCAAAATGTACACTATCGCTGCCTGTATTTAAATCTCACACCCTTCTATTTGCATTCAGCTAATACTGTGACATGTTCAAGCTCCATGAGCAGCATCTGTTTTTGGGTATCAAACATTTATCCCCTGTAAGCTAGAGAGTTGGTTGTAAAAAGTTTGTTTGCTCCTTTAGAAGCTGTCAGCTTTAATTCAGTTGGCATAAATGCAACACACAAACTTTGCCAACCCTTTCTGCAGCATAATCCACTTTTTCGCGGTCTTTGCTGTGTTCAGTATTTTGCCACTCATACTGTAGGAGTTTTGGCAAAATGTGGCTAAACCCACTGATGTGTAACTACATTTCTAAAGGACTTTACAAAACTGTAGTCATAAAGTGCTTTAGCAGAGGGAAGATAGAAGACATAATGTATAAGAAAAGGACACAAAGTGTACAAACCACAGAATATAAAGTAGGGGATTCTGAGCTGATACCAATATAGATGTTTAAAAATAACAATTTGGCTGACAGCCAATGATTTTTTGTTGTTATTTATTTGCTTTTCGTGCCACAAATCAAATAAATCTACAATGATAAGCATCTCTGCCTTGTTGAAGCTATTTATTCTCATCCAAGATGTCAGATGCAGAGCCGCTCACTGTCCGGCTGCTGCATTGAGCACATACGCAGGTATTTGCGTGCAGGTGATTCTCCAATATCAGAGTTAGATATATTCAACATTTAACCAGAGCAAAAGTGACGTGACGAAACAGATATACGTCTTCACCATTGCAATCTAAAATGTAGCTGACAAGAACTTAAACTGACTACAGCCATCAGTCTCCAAAACAAATGTAAACTACAAATGTGCACTTTCAAGCTTACTGGGGGTGAGTGTATCACTTTAATAGCCTCTTATATGTATCTTTTGTGACTGTAATCAAAGCTGGAATCTTTTTAACTTCAAACATGTCAGGTTTGGGCAAAAATATATTTAAATGCATTCAAATATTTTAGGGAGTGCCATGCATAAGGGCTAGAATAACAGAAACATGCCACTTGCACCACTTACAATGCAG